CGATCCTCTGAGGGACCGACCCCGAGCGGCTGCGCCTCCCACAGCAGGACCCCCAGACCCCGGGATCGTGCCGTGCCCCGGTCCCGGGACCGGACAGGCCCGTCAGGAGCGACCTTGGGGCCCGGGCGAATGTCGGGCCGTGCCCCGGGTCTGGTTTAACCCCCCCGGCAGCAACGGCGCTGAGGGCAGAGGCGGTGCCGGTGTGTCCAGCGGGCTGGGCTTCAGTCTCTAAATTGTGGGTTTGTGCGAATTAAGAACGGAGCAGGAATAGGAATAAGAGAGAAGAAGAAGAAGAGAAGAAGAGAAGAAACAGCATCAGCAGTTTAAGCTTCTGGAAGTAGATTTGGATCATTCCTGGCTATTTGACTGGAATCTCAGCGTTTACCACAGCAATGCAGAGGGTGAGCCTGACTCACCTTGGTTTGGCTTCCACTGATTTTTAGAGGAAAAAGGAAGAGGCAAACGAGCTTATCTTGTTGCTGCTGCAATACAGATTCTGAGTCACTTCTTTCCCAAGGGCACCACCCCTGATGCTCAGATCCACCGACCTTTCCTAACAAGAAGAATTGAACAAAACCAAAGTTGCAAGTTCTTGCCAAGAAACCTTGCTTTATTCATTCAATTCCAAGTATTTTATTCCTGCACTGAGGAAAAATATGTTATTACCTCCAAGTTAGTTTTATTTAAAAGGGCTCCAGCATTACTGGGGCCTCAAGATTGGTACTTTTGTTTTGCACTTTTGTTTGAAGCCTTTGGACTCTGTTGTGGAGTTGTTTTGTTCTAAATGCCTTTTTAAATGTACTTCTTAATATCTTATTTAAGGGTTCTTCAGTCTGACTTGAATGAGCTACCCCAGAGGAAAGGCCCCCTCCAGTGTTCCCGTCCATAGGACTGGACAAGATGCCAAAGAAGGTAAAAAGAAAACCAGGAACTGTGTGTGCTACTTAAATTCTGCTGCCAGGAATGAATTCTAGGCTTGTTTCCATGCATTCAAGATTAGGTAACTACTAATGTATTTTCACCCCTACTTCATTAATTGACCAGACCTATTAACTGTGTGGCTTGGAGCTGTGTTACCAACAGCAGTGCTGGTTGTTATGCCATTGGCTGTAACGGGGCAGGTGTTAAACATGGAGCAGGCACATCCCTAAGGGGAATTTTTTAGTGAAATTAATGGACACGTGGTGTGCAGTCTAAGTATGAGAAGTGATTGTATTTTGAAATACTGTTTTTCTTTGGCTGAGCCATCACCATCTCCTCTCAGATGAAGTGGTGCTGAGCAGGGGGTGCAGGAGAGCAGAAATAAACCCTTCCTCAGGTCTTCCAAAATCAGCTGCACAACGGACTTAACTTGGCTGGTGCCAGAGTAATCCAGCCAACACAGGGGAGGGCACAGGAGGGAAGGGGCATTGGCAGAGACTCATCCTGTCTGTGGAGTATTTCCTAATTGTTCATGTCTGTTCCCTGTGAAAGCAGCAAGGTTCTTAACGTTCATTCCCAGGAGAACAACAGGAACCACTTTGATGGCAATGCTTAACTGCATTCCTCAGCTTTCTTTTTCCCTTGCTGTGTAAAATTTCACATTACTGGAAATGAACTACTTATGCTGTCTGCAAAAGATGATACTGCTCCTAAATGAGTACATTATTGTAGTTTTAATTTTTCTTTTAGAAATGTGTTAATGGGGTTTTGTAGTATATATTCCCCTTTATTAATGAGCTTAGCTCACTAGAGGGAATGCTGCTAACTAAAAAGTAGCACTTTTTCTGTATTAAGAGGGTGATACTGTTCATTGCCTTGGTTAACTTGTGAAGAATTGCAGATTTATGCTACTAAATACAAGAGCAGGGTTACTTTGAAGCAGTTTCTGTTAAGGAGAAAAGAAAAGGAATATCCAGAAAGCAAAAATCAGGACTGGTATCTTTTCCCTTCTTTGCTTTCCCTTATAGTCCCTCTCTGCTTTCCCCCAGAAATGACAAAGACATGAAATCACTTCTGGTTAAGTTTTCCATTATGTTTGTACAACAAATGTGTCCTTCCAACTCATATTGTCAAGGACATGGGAGCCCAAAGGCTAAGATTTAAATACTTTAAGCGATTTAGAGGGGACAAATCTTCACCTAATGCAGTCCAGCTCTTAGAACACCACCTTTTCTGCATCACCTGCCTGCAATGTGGGCATTCAGCAACTTCACTCTTGGGGCCCTCAGTCTCTGCTCTAAAAATGAACACCTTTGGTAGGAAAACTGCATTTGTGTTGGACCACAGGAGCTTTCACCTCTGCCTTAGCCCCTGAAGCCAGTCCCTCCTGCTTCCCTCTGCCCAAGACAGTGTTTGAATTGAATGCTTCACACTCACAGGCTCAGAAAAATGCCAGTTAAAACACGGCGTGTGTGTCTGCAAAATGGCAAAGGCCAGGTAGCGTGAGCCTGAGTGCCTTGCTTACAGCCAGAATTACCAGTGATTAATGCAGTATGCAGACAGTGCTGCCAGCCTGCCATCCCTCAGGTGCTAGATAATGCCTTTCTAAAAACAGAGCACCCCATGGGAACCCTGATGCTCAGGGAGGGCAGCTGGAAGGAAGAGTAGCTCAAACATTGTAAATTACGACTCCAGCTGAGATTGAGCTGTTCCCTGGAAGCAGCAGAAGAGCTTTCAGCTATAGTGGATGAGCTGATAGTCCAGCTATATTCAGCCTTTGGTGCTGATCTGTCCTCCTCTTCAGGAAAACAGTCAAAAAGAAGAGTCTGTCCTCCAGAATGACCTCAGTGAATCATTTGAAGAAGAAGTTAGAGCATTCCTCAGTGATGAAGAGAAACTGCATCTTTTTGATGACCTTACAAAAGTTAATCCAGTGACAACTACAACAGGTAAGCATCCAGCCAGGGGAGTGTCTCCTAAGGAGTCACTTTTCCTGGTGGCTACTAGGATATGGTAGTTACTGTTCTCATCACATTAATACTACCATGAACACAGTAGTTAAAGATCCACAACCTATTAAAGCCTGTTCCAAGCCTCAGAAATTCACTTTTGGCTTGGTTGAATTTTTGTATTGTAGTTTCAGCCATGCTGATCTCTTATCGAGCTCTGTGTGCAGAGCTGACATTTGTATTGTTGGTTCTGGTAGCCAGGGTGTGGTTGGGAATTAATGGCTACTGAAGGACTTCTGCATGACCTTGTGACTGCAGTCTGGTGTTACATGAACATACAAGAACATGAGGCTCTGACTTAGATTCAAAATATGTTCATGAGATAGGTTTTGAAAAGTAAATTCCTCACTTGACTGTTAAAGAGGGTCCTGTTAAGAGAAGCTAAGGCCTTTTCCTGCTGCAGGTGGGGAATTCTTGCCTCTGTTCTGCAAGTGAAATCTCATAAAAGCACAGGATTTCATGAATTAAATAGCAGATCCCTTAAGAATTTTTAAAAATAAGTGCAACTCGTGAAGCCACTGTTATGTATATTAGACCTGTATCTTGATCACCTCATTCTCTATTAAACCTAATAGGTAACATCTCTGAAGATTGATGTTACAAACAGGAACATAAAGAGGCAAATACAGTGTTCCAAAGATGCTAACAAAAGGTGTGTCTTTCAGTTCTGAAATGCCTTCAAGCAAGATATGAAGTAAACTTGTTTTATACAAATGCTGGCTGCAGCCTGGTGGCTTTAAATCCATTTCAGCCCATCTCCTGCCTCTACTCACCTGAGCTTATGAGGGAGTACCACATTGCACTTCGTCCTCAGGTAATCCTGATATTTGAAATAAATATCCTTCCACAAAACTCAGGTGCCAAGTTCTTAAAAATCTAAATAAGCAAAATAATCCTAAAGGATAAAACCTATTTCTAGTGAAATATGAGTCTGTTAAAAGAGCAGTACTGCTTTCAGATAAATGTGAGAAGACTTTGCTGTCTGTTGCTGTTGAACTTTGTAATTGCTATTGTCTTAAATATGAATATTCTCTTTCACTGCCAGGATTTAAAACCTCACATCTTTGCAGTGGCTGAACAAACCTACAGGAACGTCCAAAGCCAGATAGAACCTGTAAACCAGTCTATAATTGTTAGTGGAGAAAGTGGTGCTGGGAAGGTAAGGAAGTTTTTCTCTGGCATTGCTCTTAAGTTTTGAGATTCATTAGGCATGTGTGATGTGCAGTGCATGGGGTTTCAGTGAACAAGCAAAGATGAAGAAAGAGGAATTCCAACAGAGCACGTAGCCAGTCTGCTCTAGCACAACTGTCCTGAAATACGTGTAAAGCATGAAGTGATTGCTGCAGTCAGAGAGACTCCACTAAATATAGCTGCTCTTCAGGAGACGTGGCATTTCTGGGAGGGTAAGATTTGAATCATTCAATGGGAATTGCACCTGGGTTAGTGTTGCAGCCTAGAATGTTAGGGAGTGAGTGTGGATCTCAGCAAACCCTGTGTGGAGAGGTGGAAGAAGTGGGAGAGTTCTGTCCTAGGCCCTTCTGGAATGGGCCATCTCTACTCAGCAAGACATTAAGGATATTTTAAAGCCTGAGAACAAAATTATTTCCTGAGTGTTAATGACTCAAAGTCCACTTATATTAAATTAATCTTAAGATACTAGCTGTTAATTCAGGCTGAGCTGCCAGATGGTTACATCCTGGTGAGACTGCCATTCAGCAGAGCACTCCTACTCCAGTAGCATTTAAATGTGTCTGCTGCACGTAAATATATGCACAAAATGTTTCCACTGAACTCGAGCTATGAACCTGACACAATTCCTCTCTCCAGCATGATGGCCAGCTGCATACCATGTTTTCAGAAGCTTGTGCTGTTCAACTAACTGACATAATTAATAAGGTGGTAAAACAAAGGCTTATTGTCAAGCCTCTCTCTTGCAGACCTGGACATCTCGCTGCCTTATGAAATTCTATGCTTCTGTTGCTGCTCCAGTTATCTCTCCAAAAGGCAGTGAAACTGTGGAAAGGATAGAGAAGAGAGTGTTGGATTCCAACCCTGTCATGGAAGCATTTGGTAAATGAGGCTTTTTTAATAGCAAAAAGAAGTAGTGGCAACTGTGGGAACCTTCTTCGTTAACACACAAATCTAGGATAGCTCTTGGTCCTCTGCTTAAAAGACAAACTCTACAAATACTGGAGCTGTTTATAAATCACCCTTAATATCTGTGTGTGGAACCACTCTGATGATGCTGTTTCTGTCACTGGCAATTCCACAGGAAACGCGTGTACCCTGCGGAACAACAACAGCAGCCGGTTTGGAAAATATATCCAGCTGCAGCTAGACAGGTAGGAATTACTGTGTAAACACCTTATCTATTGTCTTCTTCCTTTAAGTCTTTACAAACCTACTTCTCAAGTCTACCATAGAATATCTTACCTGTCTTTAGAACATATTTTGTTTTGCTGGCAGCTGACATTATTATTGTATCCGACTTGTTTTTCCTGCAACCTCTCAGCCTGATCTCTAGAAGAGAGCAATGGAAAAAGAACTGAATAAAATATTACATCAAGCTTGCACAAAACTGAAGGGGAACAGCAAAGCATTCATTGTCAGTTGGTACCATAACAACACAATGGCTGTTGGATTCTGTGAGAAAGTTTTATTGAAATCTTTGCTTTCTTTCCACCTTCCTCTAGATTCCACCATCTGAGCAGTGCTTCCATTCAGACTTTCCTTTTGGAGAAGACCAGAGTTGCCTATCAGGCCCCCAATGAAAGAAACTTTCATATTTTTTATCAGGTTTGCTGTCAGTTAATTTTGCTAGATATTTCTGACAAAATAGTGGGGGTGAAGTCACCAGATTAAGCACAGTTGCAGCTTTAAATGTGTAACTGTTTTCCTGTCTGCTATACGCCCACATTCAATCACGCTCCCAACGCATTATTATTCTTTGCCTGTGAGTTGTAAATACCAAAGGCAGAATTCAGTCATTACCTTGTTTTCTGTCCCCAGATCACAAAAGGTGCCACTGCAGAGGAGAGGCTGGAATGGAACCTTCCAGAAGGGGCTGATTACCACTGGCTGCCAAATTCTGAAAGAAACTTGGACGGTAAAGATGAGTTGCACAGACTGTCCCTTAGTAAGGGCTGTAACTTTAAAGGAAGGCACACAAAAATGTGTCAATCCCATGGCCCGGACAGGTCAGCCAACAGCAGACATCTTGCAAAGCCACCTGCATCAATGTCATTCCTCTTCAGTTTCAATTTGCACTACTGAGAGTTTTCACCTGGCTTAAAACAGCAGTTTCTGGCCTTGCAAATTTGCATCTCTGTGGCTTTTTGTTTAGCAACTGTCTGGTCTTTGGATGTGCTTCAGCAACCTGCTGCCTAACTTCAGAGCCCCACAGAGTCAGAATTAAGTTAATGACTTGTACTCTGGGACCTACAAAAAGAGCATCTGGTTTCCTTGATCTCCTTTGAAAATTCCAAATAAATTGGTTGGGGTGTAGGGTGTCCTGGCTGCCCGTGTTTGTGTGCATGGCTTTTTTCTTTTTCTTTTTTTTTTTTTAAATAGCACCTGTTTGGCTTTTCAGAGGACTGCTTCGAGGTGACCAGAGATGCAATGTTGCACTTGGGCATTGACCGCTCCACGCAGAACAATATTTTCAAGGTCAGGTACAAAGCAGGGTCACCATGAGGCTGCTCCTGATGTTTGGAATGTCTTTTTAGCATGGGATTTCTGCAGAAGTAAATCTGTATCAATGTACAGAGCATGGGTTGTTTGGTACTGCTGACTGGGGGGCCTGCAGCTACACAATAGGTTGCAAAGCCTGCACCTGTGAACTTCAGTTTTCCTTCAGTAATTGCAGCCTTAGGCATTAACTCAGAAGCCTGGCATCTACTTGCCTTTTTTAATGTGCAGAAATGTTTTTATTTGTCCTGTTTGTGTGGCTAAGGGGAGGCTGAGGACACTGCCTTGGAGGGGAGCTCTGGTTTAGAAAACTCAAAGCTTGATTATATTTCAGGTATTGTCAGGCCTTCTTCATCTTGGAAACGTTCAATTCTCTAATCCAGTGGATGAATCTCAGCCTTGTGAACTAGAAGAGAAAGCCAAAGGTGAGGCAACAAGCATGCTGTGCTCCAGTCTTGCTGTCTTAGTGCAGATACTTAATAGGAAGGATTACTATGTTCTTTAGCCTGGTAGAAGACTATGAAGGTCAAAATTTAAGCATGTTTTTGTTCACTACTTCATGGTTTCAAAGTACTGATCAAACAAAAACCTAATGCTCCTTTATTCTGAGAGACAATATCCTTCCATTGCAGGTCAAGGCAACTGCAACATTAGGCAGTCATTGCAGAAAGATTCTTGGCAGAACTGTTACCCTTGATTGTAATCTTATGCTGACATCACAAGACTTCCAGAAATCTGACTCCAAGTAGAAAGCAGGGCTTTTACAATTAAAGCTTTGAAGTTTTCATGATAAAGACTAAAATTCCACCTCCTAACAGCAAACCTGTTAAATTGCAGCATAGGATACAGGTTGTTCTGCATGTCTTTAGGGCATTTGTGGATCTAGTTTTCCTTCAGAACCACAACACTGTCTTGAATAGTGACATTCCCTACTATTATTTAATGTGCTCTGAATTCACACTACTTAATATTCAAGTAGTTTTGCATACAGCTCAGGTTAGCAAGATCTTAAGGGCTTCATTAGTAAATACTCATTCTTCTAATTAAGGCATTACATTTCATTGCTATCCTAAAGGTCCATGTTTTTTTTCTGGTTATGGCTGTTTGATGTTCTCTGTCTGGATTTAAAGCTCTCCACTCAAAAAAGGTGAAAAAGTCACAGAGACATACCTAGAGAGCACTCTCCAAAATGCCCACTACTGCTGGCAAACTTCAGACTTGGTGTTCTTTCATTTGAAATAGAGTACCTGCAATTCTAGGGGTACTGTGCATCCAAATTAAGAGGCTGGTCTTGCAACACTTTCTCCCAAATTTGGGCAAAAAGATCCAAAATCCTCATTTAAGTTGGTGAATTCATGGAAGTGTCATTTTTCTCTATCACCTCGACCTTCCATAACATTAAAGGGGGTAAATTAATTTAACACTCCAGATAATATTGCCATGTTATTTTTCCTGAACCAGATTTTGTGAAAACCACTGGAGATCTGCTGAAGATACCTGCTGAGGAACTGCTGGAATCATTAAGAATTCGAACAATAACTGCTGGAAAACAACAACAAGTCTTCAAGAAGCCTTGCTCCAGAGCTGAATGTGAGACCAGGAGGGACTGCCTCGCCAAAGTCATCTATGCTAAGTAAGGACACACAGGCCAGGCTGCTGTGCTAATCCATGTAACTTCTGTAAGGGAAAAGTGAGGATTTTCTTTCCCTGGCTTTCTGCTTGGACTCAGTAACAGTGTAACCTGCTTGACACACCCTTGATTCAATTGTAGATTCTGACACAGCTGCAGTATCCAGTAGAGAGATCTGCAGAGAGCTGCTCTTTCATGTCAGCACAGCATCATTTTTCGTTTCTTCTGTGTTACTGGTAAAACCAGCAGTGAAAGAACACTGCTGTGATCTGGTATGCAAACACTTTTCAACTAATCCAGTTGTCATTGCCTGCAGATTGTTTGAATGGCTCGTTTTGGTCATAAATGAAAGCATCTATGCAGATCCATCAGTGTGGACCAGCTTCATAGGTAGGGTTTGTTCATCCCTGCTTTATCTGAGTAACCATAAATCCTTTGAGATACTCCTAGACCAAAGGGCACTGTCTTCCCATATTCCTCCTAGGTCTGTTGGATGTTTATGGGTTTGAAGCCTTCCCTGAAAACAACTTGGAACAGCTTTGTATTAATTATGCCAATGAGAAACTGCAGCAGCACTTTGTAGCACACTATCTGAAGGCACAACAGGTAACATCACCCCACTAAGGTCAGATGTTAAAGATCTCATTTTAAAACAGCATCTTTTGTCTCTTTGTGTTTCTGTGCTTTTGGTCAAACTGCAACCTTCAGTGGAGTAAATAATGCCACAGAAATCAGTGAGTGGCATGGGAATAAAGATTGCTTTTTTAAGGAGGAGTCTGTGGGGCAGTGGGTGGAACAAGACAGCTTTCTCTCTCTCAGTCAGTATGCCAGGGGTTAATGGTCAGTGAAGATGGAAACCAAGTTCAAGCACACAATTACTTTGCTCGAAACTGATTCATGACCTCTGTTTATAGTTCCCTCCCCATTACTGCCCTCTTCTCCTAATCTGGCTGTGTCCCAAACCACTTACACACCATTAGTGGCTGTGCTGAGCAAGCTTTTGGCAGGCAACTTTTAAAGTAACTGGCCAGAACTTGTACTTGTTAAACACTCCTGATAGTTTCTTCTGTAATTCAGTATAAATATTGTACAAATTATTTCAACCAATATCTTTCTGCACTTCCTTTCAGATCAGGCTATGTTTTAAATGGAACCCAGTTAGTGAAGCCTGGCACACATTGGTTGGGTTAGGGCTACGTCTCAATCTAAGGAAGGAGTTCTGCACATTCCTTGTCTTTCGGGGCAAAACCCAGCATAGCCAGAAGAGGCTTGGTGTGACTGTAGCCTCTGTTTACTTTATAAATCAGCCTTGCAGCTCTCTGATAAATCTGTAAGGTTCCCAAATGCTAAAACAAATTGACCCAGCAGGATCTGCTGCCACATAGTCAAAAGCTACCTGGGGGAATATCCTCCTTTGTTTTATTTTCTCAAGGTTGCCACTACACACGAGCTGAGCTTTGGAGGAGCAGGCTGGGCCTGGGATTAACTTGTTAAACAGTGACTGCATCAAACTGCAAAAAGGCATATGCTGTTTGAGCTCTGCCTGCTGCTGCAGCATAACTGTTTTCTCTCTTACCTCAGGAAGAATATGCAGCTGAAGGGTTACAGTGGTCCTTCATAAATTACCAGGATAACCAGAACTGCCTGGATCTGATAGAGGGCAATCCTCTCAGCATTTTTTCTTTGCTGAATGAGGTAAGTGAAGCTCTAAACCCACAAGACTTTTGGCCCAGTTGCCTGCCTTCTGTCCCATGCCACCAAAACACGAACACTAAATTAGTAGGAAACTTGTCAGCTATAAAATTTCTGCAGAGCTTGTTTTTCAGGAAAATTAAAGACTGTTTTATGACAAATAAAATGCAGTTTTGTCTTGTCTGTTATGCAGGAGTGTCGTCTGAACAGATCCTCCAACACTGACCTGTTTCAAACTCGGATTGAGAAAGCCTTGTCTCATAATCAGTGTTTAAGTCGAAACAAGTTTAGTAAGAAGCCTAACTTCATTATTTCACACTATGCTGGCAAGGTCTGCTATCAGCTGGCAGCAATGGTGGAGAAAAATAAGGTAGGTATTTTCAGAAAGAGCTGTTTAAAACAAAACAAAAAAACCTTACTGACCAAAAGCGATGTAATCAAAGCACCACTAACAAGTATATTCAGTAATAGAATCATAGAATCATCCTGGCTGGAAGGGACCTTGAAGATCATCAAGTCAAATCATAACCTAAATCCCCCTACTATAACCTAATCTAGGTTGGACTTGACTATTGAAGTTCTGAAAGTCCCAGGAAACTGAAGTTTTGGTCTCACTGTGCCACCAGGCAGCAAGTGAAACAGTCTGCAGATATGAGAGTCCCTTGTCAGTGCTGTCATCACCAGCAATTATGGCAGGTGATGCAATAAAATACCATTTCTTAATTAAAAGAAAGACTTTCTAATATCTGCTCCAGACTCTCCCATGGGGATTAAACTAGTCTTGAGACTTCTGGCACATTTAAGTTATACTACAAGGACAATGTGAGGAGCAGCTGTACTTTTGACTAGATTGGCAAAATGTTCAGACAAACATTGGGTTTTTTTCCTGAACCTGACTGCAAATGAATGTGTGTAGTCAGACTTGAAACTACAGCTTTAGTTAAATCAAAGTTTGCATCAGAAATACTATTCCACCTATATATGTGGAATTTTTCATAATTTTCAAAGGTGGCAAGTTTCTGCCTAAAACCAAATACTAATGAGTTGTGTTTGTGTTTGCAGGACCCCATTCCACCAGAGCTGGTCCATGTTTTGCAGAACTCTAAGGACTCTTTGCTTCAAAAATTATTTCCTGTGACAGAAAAGAACCAAAATAACATCAAAACCCAGAACAGAGCAGCTGTTGTTACAGTGGTGTCAAAGTTCAAGGTATGTCCTAGTCAAGTTTCTGCTTTCTACTGCTACCTTCATAAAGAGATGAGAAAACAGAACAGCTGGACCAAGACCAGTAAATGTTATTAAAATGAAACAGCTGTAAAATGAAAATAGTTTCACACACCTGAGATTCCCTGGGGTTTAGTTCTGATTTTACCTTTTTCCTTTAACCACCTGTGGAGGAGGAGTCCCTAATTAAACCTGTATTTGTTTTCTACAGAGCTCACTTGAACATCTCATGCAGATTTTGAACAGCACCACACCACATTACATCCGATGCATCAAGCCTAATGCTGAATGCAAGGCCATGACTTTTAAAAAAGAAGAGGTAACTTTTCAAAAGCCTTTCCTCTCTGAGTCAGTGAGAAGCTTCCTACAGACACAGGGTCTCCTATGAGCTTGATTCACTTGCAAAGCTCCCTTCACATCACATTTTGAAATAGCTTTTTCTTCTTTGGAGCTTCCTTGCAGAATCACTGCTGATGCTTGTCTAAAGCACAGCTACTAAACACAGCAGCTCTTCAAGCTGCAGCTCATTTGTTGCTGTGTGACAGGTTCTCTTACCAGAGTCCTCCTGGGTTATGTGAGGTGCTACCATTCCAGCCCTTGAAATAGATAAAGGTGATCTGACTGCTTGGTGGTCCTGGTCACAGATATCTTCATGGTGAATCCCCACAACAAAACTTTGCTTGCTCCTGGAGGCTAGTCTAGGACAAGTTAGATGAGCTCAACCAACAAGCATGTCTCTGGGAGCAGAGCAGCAGATGCTAAAGCTATAACTAGACGACCTCATCTGATGTAATAGCAAGCAGCTGGAGCAGTGCTGCATTAACTTTAAACCCTCATAGAATTTGCTGATTGTGTGCAAGCAGGATTAAAATACCAACCCTGGGTTTCCATGTTCTCCTACGTTTGGTCAGTGCAGGGCGTGTGGACACAAAGAGGGCACACCAGGACAGTCCCTCTCTTGGCACTGCCTTGCCCCTGCTCTGCATGTGACTCAAGAGCAGCAGCTCAGTGGCTGCACAATCCCCTTCTTCACCCTCTCCACTCACTCCCCAGCTGTGTGGCCCTGCAGCCCAGGCAGGCTCTGCTGTGGCTGCTGAGCTGAGCTGCCTGTGGCTGAGGCTGAGCACACACAGCTCCCAGTCACACAGTGGTTGCCTAAACCACCTCCATTTATGCCTTAGGTTCTCAGCCAGCTTCAGGCATGTGGAATAGTGGAAGCCATCACCATCAGTGCAGCAGGCTTCCCTATTAGGTAAGTCTAAATTTCTTGAGCACCATCTTCCATAGTCTGTTTCTATAGCAATTAGTGGCATATTAGTTATTCAGAAGAGCTTTTAAGCAGGAAATCCAAATATGTTGCAGTCTGTTTCACACCAGAAAACTAATGATCCTTTCAAAGCTATCTAAAGAGTTCTCCTCACTGCTTGCTTTTAAGCTTATTTGAGCACCTCTCTTTCATGTTTTGGAGACAAAAATACCTGTCACAAATCTAGACTGTTGGTCCGTGTTTTGGATAATGAAACTGCTTGTTCAGCAAGCCCCAAAGTACAGCACCAGAAGCAGTGGTAGCACAACTTGCATTCAACACCCTTGCATTCTTAAAAATATATCAAATACTAACAAAGTATAGCACACCCCTGGACTGAAAGCTCACTGTACCTTTCCAGTCTGAGAAGCTGAGGAAGAGATGTTTTGGTGTGGATCATTATGCACTAAAACTTTCTAATTGAATGTGGCTTCACAGTAACATTTTCAGCAATTAAAATTAAATTATTGATGGTATTCATCTAAGTGTAGTCAGCTCAAAGTCAAGCATCTCACTGCAGGCAGTCACACCTTGCTGGGTTTTCTTGTCCTCCTTTAGAGGGTGGAGGGAACAAGGCCTGAGCCAGACATGTTTTTGACAGCTCAGTACAGATGGGTTGAAGCTCAGTGTTATCAGAAACAAGCACAATTCCTGCTCAGGCTTTGTTAACAGGCACAAGTCACTGTGTTACTGCACAACAGGCTGTCACCTGAATCTCTGCAGAAAGTCTGTACTTTCTTGTATGTTAGTGGCTACACAGGCATCTGTTGGCATTCTCTGCACTGGATCTTTGAAGCCATTCTGCAATTTCCCCCCTTAAAGGTAGGTTATTTACCACAGATCACATGATGGTTGTCTAGAATTAATTGTATGTTTGTCTGTCTATCAGGATCCCTTTCCAGAGTTTCACTGAGCGCTACGGAATACTGAGAAAATCATGTGGGTCCAATAAAACCAGAGTGTGTGACAAAAGCAACTATCCTACTGCCCTGAAAAAAAGTAAGTTTCTTTGGATAATCCCTCTGCTATCCAAGTAAAATTACCACAGCACCAATTTGATATCGCCCAGATCAGAGACAATTACTGTATTCAGCACTAGGGACACCACTGTTCTCAAAATATTTTTCTAATCTGTCACCAACTTGAGTTTCTAATTTGCCTGTTGCTTACAGCAGGCTCTTTTTAAAAGTGCAAGTCTCTCATCTCATTCCTGTTTTTCTCTGTTCCTCTTGGGATTCCCCCCGATAATAAGTTAATTTAGAGTTGGTTCTTAAGCAAACTTGAAAAGCACTTACCTTTTTGCTTATATTCCTTCTCCTTCCTTTCCTTTTTTTTCCCCATCTTGTTTTCTTGCTGAACACACTGGCCTTCCAGCTTGCCTGGATTCTGCTGCTGCTTCTGCCTTTTGCAAACTTCTGTATGTGGTTCTTTTTCTAAGCAAGAAGGAGGATGGACTTTAAAAAACACAATCCAGACTACAAGGTAACATCTTTGGTATGAACCCCTGAAAGAAGGGCCCATCAGATGGTTACTATTAATACTGAAAGTTACTACAACCCCCTTCTCTCTCCCAAATTACTCCTGTCTTCAGCTAGGGGGTCTGTTCAGTAACCAGTAGATGTGGGAAGCAGACCAGTAAGTACCAGCTTATGTGAGATAAGTAAAATGGCTGGAAATCTATTAATCTGGCAGAAATGGAATGAAGTAACAAAGTATAGGTTGGAAAATTACTTACAGACCATATCTTTCTCCCTCAATTATAAACCCATTAGCTGAAATGCCACATTGTGATAGGTCACTGGTCCTTTTTATCTTTAGCAGGTAATAAGCTGCAAACAAAACAAAACCATTTCCTAAACATGGGGATAAGCTTTTGGTTCCCTTATCAGCCCAGCCCCTTGAACAACATAATAGTCACCAGATGTCTTCCTGTAAGCAAGAATTGCTTGTATTTGTTTTCAGTACCTTAAAATGCTCTCATCTCCTTAGAAATATTTATAGCAGAAAATCAAACAGTATCCAGGATGGAAAGATACAAAGACCATCAAGTTCCGGCACTGGGCATGCAGAAACTCATGCAGCATTGCCTTGAACAACACAATCTCTTTCAAGGACAGGTCTGAATCAAGTCTACCTCTATTTCCAAATAGATTAATCTGGTTAATCTCCTTGTCTCATAATGTAAAAAATACTGTACTATGTCCCAGAAATGGTTTTAATAACTTCTTATTGCTGCAATAAACTCCTGCTTTGTACATGTCCCTGTAGCTGCTTCAGATGCCCTGTGAAAGCTGTAGAATTGTGTAGAAATTGTTTTCTGTTCCTGCCTCTTTCAGTACAGTAAGGCTATGAATCTAATTCCTTGGTTTTTGTTCGTTTCCAACAGCTTTGAATTTTAGGTATTTAATCAGATTTGCTTAGGACTGAGCAGCTCGAATTTACACTTGATTGCATTGCTGTTGCCTTCAAGTATTTCCATGTAGGGTGCTTTGAACAATGTGAGAACAGCTGAGCCCTCCATGTATGTTTCATTGTCTACATTGCCCAAAATTACATTTCTTCCTATGAATAGGTCATAAGAGAGGTGTTAAGACAGCACCCAAACTACATCCTAGTTAAAACACAGCAAACTTGCTTTCTCATGGCCAGCATGTGGTGAAATCTATGCTGTCACATTTTTCCCTTAAACACAGCTAGATCTAGTGCTGTCTCAACCATCTCTTTCTCCCCTCCTTTTGTTGGTGTATCCCCCATAAATGGCCAGGAAGTCTCAGTATAAATACAATTACTTGGTCCTAGTCTGGTGATACCTTCTCTCCAATGCTTCATTTGCAGGCCAGGCTCCAGTGGTGGATGATGACAAAGCATCACATTCTGTTGTTTCTGAGATCCTTCAGAATGTTCTTACAGGACAAACTGCAGCTGAGCCAACAGGGAACAGAGCAGGAAACACTTCAGTGTACTGTGGCAAAACCAAAGTATTTATGGCCAATTCTGTGGTAAGAGTGCTGTTGCCTTGGCTAACTGTTGTGGAGTGTACCTGCCTAATGGGGATTCTGGCACAGACTGTAATCTTTGGGGATACTCCTTCTCATGGCAGTGTGACCAGAATTTGGCATTTTCCTTCAATTTTACAACTAAACCAAAGAGATGCAGCCATAAAGAACTCCCCTTCAATGGGGCTAGTTTTAAGCCAGCTGCCACTGTGACTTTGCAAGTATCCACTTCACCCCCCAACACTCTTTTTCCCCCTCAGATACATTTTAAGTGTTACCTAATAAGCACTAATTAAGTGCTTTCACTTCTAAAACCTAACCCAGCAGACTCAGGACACTGAAATGTGCACATGATTTTCTGACAAACCCCAAGAGACTGCAGAAGAGGGGAGAGTTGTGAACACAACTCCATCCCTGAGTATTAAATGCAGGCTTGTATCCCCAATGCAGCTGGAGCAACTGGAAGCTAGAAGGGCCAAGGTGTTAAATGAGAAAGCTTTCTGCATTCAGTGCTGCTGGAGAAGATTTAAACACAAGAAACTAGTGAAGGAGAGATGGTCTGCAACTGTCATCCAAGCAGGTAATTTGATAAGGGTGTGCCTGAACATATAACAAGTAACATTTCCAGTTACTCTGGATGTTTAAAGTGGCAGGAGTAGTTATGTTAATTGAACTTGGAGAAAGCTTCAGTGCCATCTCTTTTTCATTGTAAGCAAGAGCTTCTGAGATTCTTTGTACTCAGATTCCTTTTCATTAAATCTGCAGCTGTTCGTTCCTGGTTGGCCAAGAATCGGTTCCAAAGGATGCGCAGGGCTGCTGATGTCATTAAGCATGGCTGGAGGAAATGGAAAGTAAGTACTTTGGTACAAGGAAGCATTGAAATGGAGTGACTGCAGCTTTGCAGTGCTTAAGAACCTACCTCTGTCAAGTATCTAAGCAAAACCAATACTGTCAGGTCTCCAGAAAACTCATCTCAAGCTGAAGAGCAGAAGGTGGATGCCAGTCTCTTACAGCTGCTTATACAGGGTGGCAGTGCAGGCTACAGAATAAACTCATTCCTTGCCTTCTTAAAATGGGAAAACGTCCCAGAGGGTGTCCTCTCTGTTAAGGTGCCCTCTTTTTTAGACTCCTAGCTTTGCAGTTTTAAATTTTGTTCAAGATGTTTGAGAATCTTTTTCAAGAATGTTGTTCTACATCTCTTCATCAGGCAAAAATGTCTGCATTAGCAGCAGCAGAATTGGATGAGGGTGAAGAAAAGGTGTTCACCTCAGTTCCTGGAGTCACGATCTCAACCAAACCACCTTGCTCTTTGGGAACAACTTGGCCTCTGCAAGCAATAATTCAGTTCTGGCCTCTTGGCCTTGTCCTGGCTGCTGCTCCCGTGACTGTAACGGGCCTTCGGAGAGACCTGTCCCTCCTGGCACGCCTCAGAGTACTTCAGGAGAGTGACTGCTACAGGGTGGAAAGCTGCTTCTTTGGCTGTGGCATCACTTCCATTAGAGCCCTCCCACAGGTAACAAACCCCATGCACTCGAGGCAGCAGCGCAGTTGAGCTGCCCTGAGTTCAGGAACCTGAGCCCTGTCATTGAGCAGGGCAACTGTGAAGTCTGCTCTCAAGGTCTTCCTTTTTCCACTGCCTTTAACATGCAAGGATGACTCTGACATCAACAGGTCAAGACAGACGCAGGGGTGAGCTGGGGCTTTCAACCAAGAGTGACAACTCTTGTTGATCTCTGTCATAGGAACAAACTGATCAAAGCTTCTCTTCAGAAACAGAGAGCAGAGGATTCTCATGTGGGCTCTGCTGTCACCTCCTGGGTATTTTTTCTGCTAGAGAATTCAAGTTGCACAACAGGTGAACACATGAAAAAGCATCTACTTGGGAAGAAGTCACTGGGTGCATTAATGATGTCCCAGTAATTCTGTATTAGCTTCCCTGTGCAGACAATTGAGGATCTGCAGGGCAGAAATCAGGGAGCAGCCTTTAAGCTCATCTCCACACATGCAGAACAGTCTGAGACACAATCTAGTACAAACAAACCACAACCCACACTAGCTTCTGTCACAAGTTGCACCCTGGTTACAAATCACCATGTGCCTGTGCTTGGGTTATCTGAGGATAAATTTTTGAAGTTGCATAAAATGATGCATGAGAGAATGTAGCCTGTGCCTGCTCACAGTTACTATGAGTAGGAAGAAGCAGTACCAAGTTCAGTACTGTCAGAGTTGAAGCATTTCAGTTCAAAGTAGAGTACTGGTACACTCTGTAGTAACCACTTCTCTGAAATCCACTTGTACCAGGACTCTAGACATCTTCCTCTATCCTTACTCACATTCGCTAGTTGCTTGTATATACTAAAGCATCAGTCAGTTTGAATAGCTAAATTAGCTCAAAATCTGGCAAAAATGTCAACTGACATCTCCACCTCTTCTCCTTCTAGGGCTCTGTCAAGTTTCACTGTAAGAAGTCTCCCCTGCATTATGCAAATGTCAGCCCCTGTACGGATGCCTGTTCCATCAGTGGATTTAACCAGATTTTACTGGACAGAAAGGAACTCCTTCCAACATAGGTTCTGGCCATCAGCATATACTGTACTTTTTCCTTCAGGGAAGGACTGTCTGCAAGCTGCTGCTTTCAATTTAATCAACGTCCGTATCTGCTGCTACCTCAGAGCTTTCTATATTGATGCACTGTATGTATCATACAATATACTTCAAATTTAGAATGCATGGGGAGCATTTCTCCTCTCAGATACATGCACATATTAGAGGAATTATCAGTACTATGAAAACACTCAACATAATTAATACAGATCAAGTGCTTTCAGCAATATATACTTGAACTGAACACTTCTGACACTACCTGGGAGAAGCAAGAGGCAGGTAATGAGAGAGCAAATCAAACATTTCTGATGCGTGCTGGATTCCCATTAGGAGGTACAACTACAGCTCTTCTGACTGACCACTGGTGCTCAGTAACATCATAACACTTCTGGCTGTGACAGGGGAAGTGTGTAGCAGTCAGCTCTGACGCTAACAGCAGATGTCTCAGGGAAAAGCAAGACTGAACTCTTGCTTTTTATCTATAGGACCAAAACATGAAGTCTCCCAATGGCCATGCATTTCTACTGCTCCCTGTTCAACACCATTCCCTCTGCCACGGGGCCAAGGTTTTCACCAAAGGCGCTTTATATCATCTCTGTTGCTCACGTGGGTCTTGAAAACGTTCAGCTCTTCAGTGTGCCACTGTTAATTAAACAGTTAAATATCTTGTAAAAGTGTCTGACCATTTTCAGATTAGTCTGTGGATTAAAATATGTACAAATACATTTAATATTGTCACTAGGAAGCAACATTTCCCCTGGTTGACAGTATTCTGTACCAAGAGAAAGCAAGTGAACAGAACAGCAACTTTAATTCCTAATATCCAGACATCTGTCCAACACTATGTCATTGTTTATCAACTCAAAATTGAAAATTAGAGCACTGACATCCAAGAGCAAAGTGTGACCAAACCTTGAGGAACCACACAGAATGGTGCACCCCAGTGGCACAGGGGGCTGCCAAATCATTCAGGGAGAATGTTCTCCTTTTCTGGAGGTTCAACAATTCTCAAACAGCAGTCTGCAAACTCGACAAATAATGGCTCCTGCATGTACTTCTTCATGAGGGAGCTTTTATCTTCTGCTTGATCGACTGTGAGCAGCAGCTGCCTCAGATGAGGGTTCAGAAGCAAGCCTCGCAGTTCTTCTGATTCCCCTTTAAAAAACAAAACAAAACGGTACTAATCCCAAACAGTTACAAACACCGTTGACACCGCTCTTATTTTGCAAATAAACTTTCAAAGGGACAGGGTGAAAGGCCAGGAATCTGACAGGGAAGGCCTTCGGGCCTCGCAATGAGCTGCACAACTGGGCTGAACTGCGGCGCTCCGCGAGGAATTCCCGGGAGCTGCATCCCTGCTCCCCGTGAGGCCCCACGGCCCGCACACCCGCTTGCCTTGCGAGCTCTCGAGTTTACCTAAAAGCTTGAGCCTCTGCAGCGGGACGCGGTCCTGCTCGGCGTCTTCCGCCAGGATGTCCTCCACCGACCAGGGGCTGCGTGCGGCCGGGGGGGGCAGCGCCGCGGCGGGGCCGGGGAGCCCCGCACCCCCT